TTTAATATGAAGTTAATGGTTGTCTTCTCCTTTGTTTGTGTGTCAGTGAGAGCTCTCAGCAGACTCTTGTGTGGACGTATGAAGACCTTCCAGACTCTTTCCCTCTGACTAAAGAGGGCTTCATAGTAATGAGTGGCACCTCCAACAGGGTCAGGTGTGTATAGTGTGTGTGAGTGAGAGAAGGAGAAGTGCCTCACAGTATTTTCAGCTTTGTGTATGAAAGCTCCCTCTGCTGTTTTTATTAGAAGTGAACAAAATAGCTGTGTGTGAGAGATAGGGAGGGAGAGAGAGAGAGATGGTAAAAATCTGTTTTACTTTGTAAGTAGAGTTGAAGGAAGAGCTCCTTCTTCTGTAAAAATCAACTCACACAGCTGTGTGTGTGTGTGTAGATGGGTGTGTCAGAGTAACTCTCCCTGTGGTGATTTAACACCTAGAAATCTGCTCGATCCTGATTTTTTTCTTTATTATTGAGGTCTCCAACAAGTAAGTCCGCTTATTTGTTATTGTATCTTTACTGTTTTATTTTTCCTTTAGGAATAAATTAAGACCAACATTGTTTTTTGCTTAAATTTAGAAACAAGTCCTTACACAGCCTGTCTGAGTAATGTAGTTCTCCCTGTAGAGGTGTTATAGGACCTGGAGAGAGTCATTAGCATCAGAGCCTGTTCATTTCAGTGAGATTTGCTCAGTGGTCACTGTACACCTGGAAGTATGCATGTCCTGTAAGCAGCTGACTGAAGTCACTAACTCTGAATATAACCCTGTGTTTCTTATGTGGTCAGTCTGGGTGGTCATGACAGCAGCCGACCTGCTTTACTTAAACATCACAAGCGTAAGATCTGACTGTAGTGTGCCCGCTTGTGGTGACGAGGAGCAAATATTCAATTTATAGATCGGTGTGCGTATATGTGTGTGTGTGTGTGTGTGTTTGTGTGTGTGTGTCTAGGGAAACTGACAGCAGCACATTCTGTGAGCACACTTTACGTTTTGAGCTGCATGTTCATGGATTTCCTCTAGATCCAGTGAGGGGACTGTTCTTCATGCAGGTGAGGTATATACAGAGCTACACCTACAAACATTTTACACTATATAATGGATTATGCTTGCATTTCAGTGCTTTGCTAATACGTGGCAATGCTATTTCTGTTGTCAGTAAGACAGATGTATATATTCAGGATAAACATTAACACAATCAGTAACAATTATTGAAAGTCTCACAGACAAAACTCTCTAAGACTGTCTCTGTATTTCTAGACGACCATGATAACCATTCAGAGCATCCTGGTATGTTATTGTTCATACCTGCTGTAAGCTGAGACGAAAGACCGACTACACCAAGAAACGTGACAGCCTTGAAGAACAGGGTAACTGACAGAACCTTGCATTGTTCCAAAAACTCATACACAATCAAATGCATGTACATATACTCACTCTCTCTCTTTCTTTCTCTCTCTCTTTCTCTGTAGAGGGTTATAAGCAGTTTAAGGCTGGTGATCTGATAGTGAAGGTTGGGTGGACGCTGCATTCCTGGTTCCTGCAGCTGTACTGCATCATCTCTCACGTCATCCAGAAGCCCATGTTAGATCACTTTATCATGCTGGTGGTGCTGCTCGATACGGGGACGCTGATGGCCCAGACCTTCCAGGGCGTGACTGTCAGGGCAGGTACGGTCATATACTTTCCAGCACTCATTGTCACTCTGTCTACTCACATTTTGTCTTTCGGTTGGGATAAAATCTTAGAATCATGGCTGGTTACTTTAGAGATCAGAGCATGGATCAGTGACATACATGTACACATACACAACACAATACTGATACACACACATGCTTATATTTATAATCCTGATTGAGTCCAACTCCAAGACTCAATTATGACTTGTAACTCCTCTCAGGACTAATGATAAAGTAATCCCTGCCTTATTACACTGAGAGTAAATGAGGTTGTTTCTTGTTGTTTTATATTGTTGTACTAGGTTGGTGTTTCTCAGCAGTGGACACCTGTTTGCTGGCTATCTATGTGATGGAGGCTGCGTTTAAGATCCTGGTGTGGGGACATACATACTTCAGGAACCCCTGGAATTATTTGGGTGAGCTGACTAACCTCTGATGAGAGTAGTCAACATGGTCTTATGATGGCAGCCTCTTATCGCAAGTTTCCATTCATTTTTATATGTTAGAATGCCAGAACGTATTTAATAGTTGTTTTTCTTGTTTCTCTCAGATTTTTTTATTATGCTCATGAGTTTGGTGGACTTTTCGCTGTCACTGGTGCAGTCTACAAGAGGTTTTAGCAGTAGACAGACCTCCACTCTCTTCCGGGTGTTCAAGACTTTTCAGTCAGAGCTTTACGTTTGCTCAAAGCGATCCGGTAAGGAAAACTACATACCTGTTGTCATGATGTGAAATGATCTTGTTGAGACTTAAAGGAACTGCAGCAAGACTCTATGGGGCCAAACAGACTATCATATGGGGCAACACTATAAAATCACAGGCCTGTTGTCTGGGCCAATCCCAAAGAATCTGAAACCTCTTTTTTTCATTTTTATGTAGTCAAAACAACAAAAGAAGAGAGGTGGCAACCCCACACCTGTAAAGAACATCACATTTAATGATTTTTTAAGCCAGTGAACATAAATATGGTGTTGCATCTGTTCTGCTCTTATTGACTTTCATATTTGTAAAAGTAGACCAATCTTATGGACCAGACTTGCATGTGTCCATGTTTTTTTTAATGTATAATAATAACTCGAGGGCTCTCTCTTTTTTTTCTGCTAGCTTCTTCGAGAGTCTCCAGGCCATCCTTTCAACCTGCCTTCAGTCTTTCCGGTCGATGAGCTCTATCATCATCCTCATGTTCTTGTTCCTGTTTATTTTTGCTGTTATATTCCGGGAGACGTTTAATGAGTCAGACCCGGAACACTTTGGAAGCGTATTCAGGACCATCTTCACCCTCTTTCAAATTCTTACACTGGATGACCGGTCCCTGATCTACATGACCAACAGAGACAACGGTATGGGGTCATCTCTGTTTAGGTATCAACACATTATGTGAAAAGCAAACTGATGAAAGTCATTGCTTTCATTGAAAATTGTGAATTTAGCCAATATGAGCTAAATCTTTGACCTTACCATTGTAAGCCATTTGATTGGATTATGATTCACAAAATCTTGAATGTCACGCTGGTTCGATTAAATTATTTTGGTAGGATTCAGTATTTTTAAAAGAAATTCACTGAATACACAAATGTGACTGGGGGAACTAATTATTTGTAAAGTAGGCAAATATAGATAAATGAACCAATGCACGAATTCTTTTCTGGGGGAGTGGCGAGGGGGGTGACGTTTGAAAATAGCCAAACAATATTATTTCAGCCAAATTACCATATTCAGATAGATGCATAGTGATGTCTATTTAAGGATGTAAAGCAGCTGAGTATTTACCTTTTCTTGTAACTGTGATTTCTGTCCAGCTGGAAATTTGACCTTTTTTTCTTCTCCATGTTTTTCACAACAAACAGGAGCACCTCACATCATTTATTTCCTTGCTCTTTACATCTTAGTGGAGTTCTTCACTTTCCTCAAGTAAGTTACCTGGAATGACTTCACAGTTTTAAATCAGTTTCCATTCTGTGAACCACATGTACAGTACATGCTGATGTCTGTAACGTTCTCACAGTCTTTGAATTGTGTAATAGAAGTACATCAAGGCAGCTGGACTTGTGCTTAAATCTTAAAGGCATTTTGCCGCTCATCCCACCACTCAGTTGAACTGAATACCCTCATATGGGCAGCAAAATGTCTTTCAGGTTTACATCACAAGCCTGACTGCCTTGACCTATCACTAGGCAGTGAATGCTTACTTTTAACTTTTCGTCTTCGTAGTCTCTTCATTGCTGTGTTAGTGGACAACTTCCAGCTGAGTATCCGCAAAAAGAGGCATTTCAAGAGTCAAAAGGTACACAGAGTTAAAATGGAGAACAATCGAACGTGTGTAATGTTTCTGTGTTCTAAATAAGCTCTTATTTTAGTCTCCAGATGTGAATGAGGGTGAAATTCAGTCCACCAAGAAGGCAGTAGAAGGTAAGTGTGTAACAGAACACTAAAAAAAAAATATATAACATCTCCACGTTTTTCAGCTTTTTGCTTTTTAAATTGTATCTTAAGCCTTCACTAATAACCTGGAAAAAGTCTTTTTGCGAGTGTCCACTTCATAGTTTCAGTTTTGTATTCCTTCAACAGCAAGCATTTTTTCATATAGTCGTTTTCACTGTGTATAGATTTTGGAATCAGTTAACAAATGTAGCTCTTTACGGAACCCAGTATGACAAGAAGTGAGGACAGTCTGTGAAGCAAAGCCTTTAAAGCAGATAGTTAATGTATTTGTATGCATATATATATATACATATATATGTATGTATATATGGCCTCTTCTTGAATTTACACATTCTGTATTTGTTGTTTGGATCTCTCTCACTTCAACAGTCCTGGAGATGAGTCAGTCTGAGATAGAGGAGGAACTCTACAAGGAGGCTCTCAGACATGCTTCAGTGAAAACAAACACAGCAAGAGGTGAGAGAGACTGCTTCAAAAATACTTTTATGTGGCTACAACAAGCATGTCAGTGTAGGATCAGTATAGAATCAATAAGAATATGAAAAAACATTGTCTAAAAGGTTTTTATTGTTTACATTTGTAGGAAGATACAATTGATAACAAGGCATCTGCAATTACTGGTCGCCATGGACCAGCATATGCAGAAGTACAGATCACAAGCTTGTTTGCTGGACAATATTGTGGAAACCTTCTTTAAGGTGAGAAGCTTTTCGATATACATACCATTATAAGCTCGACTATCAAAAAGATTTGTTGCTGGTATTAAACATTGCGTTAAAATTCTTAAACATTCAGAATTCAGTATGCAGCTTTAGTATGCAAATTTTACACAAGCATTATTCAGCTGTATATGAACTGTACTTCTCTTTACTGGTCACATAGAAGTTACTGACACTGTTGCTGTTGTTGTTGTTGTTGTTGTTGTTTCAGGATCAGGAGACCAAAAGTGACAGAATCGAATAACGTCAGACGTGCAGACCTCCAGCCTCCACCAGCCCATTCCAGTTCAGGGCAACATCCACCAAATACCACGCACACAAGCAAGCACACCTCCATCACCAATAAAGCCTGAAAGCAGAAGACAGCAGTGTGATTAATGCACAACAGTGTGTGGTTATGTGTTCGTCGTTATACTAAATCAGTAATCAATTCAGTGAACACATCCATGTATGCAGACATCAGAAAATAGGTTTGGAATTTGTGGTAGGAAACGCACATTATTTGGCTGTGATGCTTGTGCTTTAGTGAGATAAGTAAAAAAAGACACAACAGAAGAGAAGCTGTTGTTCAGGTAACTGACAGCACCTGAGGACAACAAAATAGATGTAAAACAAAATAAAATCAAACATTAAAAAAAATCAAACAATAATTAGAACTGATAATATTTGAAACAGCCAATAGGAAAAAAAACTTGTTGGGTTCATTTTCACAATTATATTTTGTGTATATTTTAAGGTTTTTAAAAAAGTGTGAGACTGCTGGACAGTTAAAATACAACCCCATTTCCAAAAAAGTTGGGATGCTGTGAAAAATGTAAATAAAAACAAAATACAACAATGTGCAAATCATTTAACCTCAATATGTAATTGAAAATAGTACAAAGACAACATATCAAATGTTGAAACTGAGAAATTTTATTGTTTTTCAAAAATATATATCCCCATTTTGAACTGGATGGCCAACAACATGTTCCAAAAAAGTTGGGACGTGGGCAACAAAAGGCTGGTAAAGTTGTGGAATGCTAAAAAAAACACCTGGTGGTTAATTGGCAACAGTTCAGTGATATGATTAGGTATAAAAGAAACATCCCAGAGAGGCTGAGTCTTTCAGAAGTAAAGATAGGGAGGGGTTCACCACTCTGTGAAAGACTGCATGATCAAATAGTGCAAAAATCCAAGAATAACGTTTCTCAACGTAAAATAACAAAACTTTTGTTCTTCATCATCTACGGTACATAATAACATTAAAGGTTTCAGAGAATTGGGAAAAATCACTGTATGCAAGGGAAATGGCTAAAAAACACTATTTTCTGCCGAAGATCTTTAGGCCTTCAGGCAACACTATTAAAAACAAACCTGATTCTGCAGTGGAAATCACTGCATGGGCTCGGAAACACTTCTGAAACCATTGTATGTGAACAAAGTTTATCGCTGCATCCACAAATGCAGGTTATAACTCTAAAATGCAATGAAAAAACTGTACATAAACAGCATTCAGAAATGCTGCCATCTTCTCTGGGCCTGAGCTCATTTTAAATGGACTGAGTGGAAGCGGAGAAGTGTCCTGTGGTCTGACAAATCAACATTTGAAATTCTTTTTGGAAATCTTGAACACTGTGTCCTCCGGGCTAAAGACCACTCAATGTGTTATCAGTGCACAGTTCAAAAGCCAGTATTCATGATGGTACAGGGGTGCATTAGTGCACATGGCATGGGTGAAATGCACATCTGTGAAGGCACCATTAATGCTGAACGATATATACATGTTTTGCCAACATATGCTGCCATCCAGATGGCGTCTTTTTCAGGAAAGGCCTTGCTTATTTCAGCAAGACAATGCCAAACCACATTCTGCATGTATTACAACAGCATTGCTCTGTATACACTGAAAATATTTGGCGCGTTATGAAATGAAAAATATGACAAATGAGACCTGAACTGATGAGCAGCTGAAATCCTATATCAAACAAGAACAGGAAAACATTTCACTTTCAAAACTATAGCAGTTGGTCTCCTCAGTTCCCAAACACTTACAGAGTGTCGTTAAAAGAAGAGGTGATGAAACACTGTGGTAAACATGCCCATCCCAACTTTTTTGGAATGTGTTGTTGGTGTTAAATTCAAAATGAGCAAATATTTTTTTTTAGAAAATAATCAAATTTCAATATTTGATTTATTGTCTTTGTACTATTTTTAATGAAATATAGAGTTTAAATGATTTGCACATCATTGAATTTAGTTTTTATTTACATTTACATTTTTTATTTACAACTGAAATAAAACTGAAATCTGTTCAGAATGGGGGAAAAATTAAAAACTGCATTTGTAGCACAAATGAGATGCCATGCAAACAAATGAAAATGAAAACTTTCAACAAGATTCAACACTCAGAATATTAAGCCTTTAAGGGTAACAATGAAGTAATTTAATCAATATGAAGTGTAAACAAAGTAAAAAATGTTAACTTCACAGGAGAGGGAAAAAACATGCTCAAATTTTAATGAAAGATAATGTAACAAGGTTCTATTACAAGTAATTTTCAACTTTTCTTTATTTTTATAATAATGTACAAAAAATAAAACCTGAAAAAAAAAGTTACATGGTTTTGATATGACAGTGACAATTGGGGCCTTGTGTAAAGGAATTCCTGAATTCAAGTGTATCCCTTGAATGAGTACTGAGATCTAAAAGAACATTCAAGAGGTCAGTGCTGCTGCAGGTTTCAGTTCAGAGAACAGAGGCAGGAAACAGCTAATATACATTTTCATTGTAGCTTTGATATTCTAAAGATAGATCAGGGAGAGAAAGAGAAAAATATACCTCCAAATAACTAATCGAAATATTTAAATCACATAGAAAATCACAGAAATTTTTCCATGGAGATACTTGTAGAAATGAGATGTCACCCATTCTCATCTTTCATATCATCAGTAAGGGACATTATCTTTCTGTTTGGTCCAGAACTATTTCTGTACTGCCTGAGTTTTCCTCCTCTCTTCTTTCCTCAGAGCAGCTACTGGTGAAGGGTTTGAAAGTGTTTCATAATCTGTTTCTCAGCATGTTTGGCCTACGTCTGGAGTATAAAAAACATGTAAACAAACAAAAACAACTAGTAAAATTCCACTTCTGCAGGATGCTTAATGTGTGATGATTAGAAAGGTATGTGATCTTTACTATAATGTGCTGAATTTCTTGATCGCAGGTTTCTTTAGCTTGCTTAAAGTCCTGCAACTTCTCCTTCAGGATCTTCAGTGCAGCCTTGAGATCAACCTGTAAGGGAGATTCCAACATGCTTTATTCAAAAAAAGGGCTAAACCAGGAAGCCTTTCCAAAGACTTTATAATATAAACTATAAAAACACTACCTGACAAAAAATGATGCAAATGGGTATGTCTATCAGACTGTCTCTTACTGTAATAAAAGACCAGTAGTACAATTTAGAATACGCATTCTCTTGAGGGAAGCCGCCTACATATCATTATCAAATGTCCACTGATTAACCTCTGAAATGTCCAGGGCCCACAGGCAGGCCCAAAGTTTTACTACACACTTCTATAACCTAAGAATAGCTCAGCTAGTTTGCATTGTAGTCTGCGTAGTTACTGAATAATAAGCCTTAGTGCGTAATAAGCCTGGGATTTTAAGGGATTAGGAAGGTAATTAAAAAAAAAAATCTTTAAAACTGATTAATCAAGTTCCATCCTTTGCTTCTCTAGAAAGCTTACATAATTGGCTGGTTTATGCTACAATTTGACATGCAAACTGGTGATATTACATCTTGTTAAAGATGATTTTTAAAACAAACATGACACATGTAGTATGTAAACATTGTTAAGGTTTTAAAATGTACTATTCACCCCTCAGTTCATACAGTCCATATCCAGAAACTGTAAAAACAAGTCTGATGTGATAGCACAAAAAATTCAGCCTACAGCTGCATCACAAAGTATGGTGACCAATCAAAACATAGAAAAGTTACTTATATCAGTCCTGAAGGCACAATAACAGAAACAGTCTGTCTAATTATGATAGAGAGAGAGTTTGGAAAATGGTCATGTAAAAATGAATTCTGACGTTTAGTATGCGTCATAAGTGGACCTCGGGGAAAAAATGAAATACATGAAAAATGCGGTGTGGTGGCCGACACGACTCAATGCAGAGTACAAAGAAAAACACTAAAGAAACTCATAAACACAACGCAACTTCGGGAAACACTACATCAACATGACTACACCTGAACTACATCTTATAAAAATGCTGCCAATAAGAAAACATATGCAACTTCAGAAATGCTGCAAAGCCAGTCATAACACAGCAGAAATCACTAAGGGAAGATGATAAGAGACTCACATTCCAGTAAGTTTACAGTTTATTTGGCTGGCTGGTTAGCTATCTGATGGCATAACGTTTTTTTTTTGTATGCATGTGTGTGTGTGTATGTATATGTATATATATGTGTGTGTGTGTGTGTGTAGTTGTGCGTATGGATGGAAAAGCTGCAAAATAAGTACTCTGAACTCAACTGAACTAATCTGAATACCTATCGCTGCTGTCAGAACAAAACTTCGTATCTCAATTTTTGTTGTTGTGTACTTTTGTACAAAAATTGAAAATTGAAGCTGCCCTTTACAACAAGCTAGAATTTAATGATGAATGGACCAATAGAAATGCTCAGATATTTCTTACAAAAATACTGGTAACATTAACTTCTATTTAATGTTAAGAATGTAAAGTTACCATTTTGGAAATATGAGGTTTTGTTCTGACAGCAACGCTGTACTAGTAATCAGTCAAATCTGGTGCTGCTATTTAAACTATTACAGTTACACTCTACAGCTAATTCTCACTATGATACTGTGATATTAGTTATCTGCTAAAATAAAAGTTAACTTACTTTTATCAGTGAATGTTTATGCTGTATAGAATTGAACAGTTTGAATGGTTTCATCCTTTTTGAGTGTGAAACGTTTCCGATGTGCTGTGACTGACTTTGCAGTGTTTCTGAAGTTACGTGTCGCTGCTGTCGGAACACAACCTCGTATCTCCATTTTTCAGTTTTCAACATAATATGAAAATACCTGATGCCCCTTACATAGTGTGTACATTTTATGATGAATAAACCAAAAGAAATGGCCCAAATTATTTTTCTGGTTCTTATTGACTTACATTAAACGTAAAGTATGTTTTTTCCTTCTCCTGTAAAGTTCTAATTTTGAAGATGCAAGTTTTTTTCCGACAGCCGTGATGTGTTTTCCGTACTTCCAGAGTGTCTGTAAAATGTAACACTGGTATAGTCCTTTTGCTGAGAGAGTTTTCAGAGTGCAAACAAATTTTCAAGGTGTTTGATTATTTTGCCAAGCATTTGTAAAATGCAGAGCCTATGCTGTCTTTTTGATTAAAGTGTTTGATGTGTTCGCAGCCGATTTTTTATTCTGCAGCGTGTTGGACCTTGCTGGCCACCATAATGCAAGACATGGTCTCTTTACATATCAATCCAATGTATAATTGATAAAACTGAAGAGGCCCCCTCAGGAAATGCCAAATACAGGAAACCAAGGGAATACAACTTTTGTACATTCATTCAGATTATCACTGGTTCTGTGGTCATAAGATATCATTACTTACATGAAATATCTGTCTTCCTTGTCTTAGAACAACAGTGCAAATGACGAATTATTCACGATGCATAGCTTAGTGTTCTTGCTTACCCTCGTATCATGAGCTGCTTCATCAGCTGGAACGAAGCTGTGGTTCCTGTGTTTTCTAGAAGTCTGGCAAATTACACACGCAAGCTGCTCCTCATACATGCAGAAGAGTTGGAGCTGCTCCCTGTGTGAACTACAGCTGTGTGGACTCTGCTGTAACTCCGTTCTCGCTCTCTTTTGAGAAAGACTCACAGAGGTTCTTCAAAACGAGGTTACAAAGAGGCTCGGAGGATCTCTTCCTGCACAGAGGACACTCTCTACCTTCCTTCGTCCTCCAGCACATCTCCAGGCAGGTTTTACAGAAGCTGTGGCTACATGAGAGAACTACGGGACTCCTGAAGATGTCGTAGCTCACAGGACAGGACAGGTGTTCCGCTAGCGCGGTGGATGCCATGGCAACTCTTTGTCGTTACTGCGTAAATAAAACTGCTCCTCTTCAGTAAAACAGAGTTTAAAGACGCTTTTCTTCGTGAAGTTTCCAAGTTCCCCCACCGAGCGAGCCGTTGAGTCCGTTTTACCTCACGAGGAGATTCAAACTTGGCTCGCGCCAACGTCCCTCTCACGCGCGTGCTCGAGACAGGAAAAGGCGCCCTATGAGTGATGAGTAAATTCATTTTCGCTTTCCTTTCGGCAAAAACGAAAAAATAATCAAATTAAAAAAGAAACCAAGATTCTGGGAAGGGAGATGTAAAACCAACTAAATGAATATTTAAAAAGCTCATACGGACTGAAATAGTTTGAACTGCAGTCCCACAATAAAAAATAACTATTAAAAAAATGTAGTTTTCAGACCTTAGATATTTACAAGAATTGAGTCATTCTACAGAAATGTCCACTTTTGGAGTAGCAAGATGACTTAAAGTGTATTTCTTTTTCTAACTCGGACCACGTTATTACAAACTCATCGGCTGTATAAATACACAAAAGTGGCAGCTTAATCACTTTTACCCTTTTTGTGCGTTTATTTAAAGATCGCATGCACCGCTTCTTGTCAGTGGTGTTAGCTACTCCTTTGGCAATATTAAAGGTTATTATTTTTTATTATTAAGGCTATAAAGAATATTATTTCTCAATCTCTTTAGCACAGGTACTCAGGGTTAAAGAAGAATAATGATAATGTGACATTAGGATATTATTATTATTATTTTATTTATTTGAATCAATTTTGTTTCATTGAGTGATGTTTGTTCAGTTGTGCAACCATGTATTTGCTATAACAATGAAAATATTTGAATAAAGTTATGATATAAAGTTATTATCATAATTATAACTTTTCTTTATCGTTGTTAATTAAATAAGTTGGGGGATGAGGATCTTTGGTCATATGTGTCTCACTGGTGTTACTGCCTATTTTTTGGTTTTTTTTGTCACATTAAATAAAATGTGTCTCATGACACAAAAAACACACAGTGACACCCGTGACATACACATGACCAAAGATCCTTATCCCTCAACTGTCAACGATAAAGAAAAGTTATAATCATGAAATCTGAGGGCTATTTTATCCAAAAAAAACAAAGAGAGTCACTTGTGTTACTGACCGGCAGTGGTGTTTCCTATAAGGAAGGTAACACCACAGATGGTAACACCAGTTATCGTTTTCATGACAAATGCATTTTATAAAATGGCTGCTACAGGGCATCAAACCACATGTTGTCAATCATGGTATAGGCCTACTTACTAAATGATGTAATCCATATAAGTTCTTTTTTCCCAACTTCCTAAGAATAAAGTAGGTCATACCAGTAAATTCAACTAAAACCTCATATGAAATCATGAGATAAATGAGAAAATTTCTGATAACTGAAAAGAGACAGTGGACTTACCGTGTGCCTTTCTTTATATGTGCCTTTATATGTACCATGTGCCTTTCTTTATATGTGTCTTTATATGTACCATGTGCCTTTCTTTATAGATCTTCCAGAAGAAGGTAAAAGGGAGTCAAGTGATATCATCAGTGTGATTTTTATTTCAAAAGTGAGATAACATCAGCGACACGACTCCAGATGACCTCTACTTTCATTAAATATTTTATAATATCTATTTGGCATTTTGTTTTTTTATGTCATTTATATAATATATTTGATAGTTATGTATACCTTATCGCAGTTTAAATTGCAGAAAATGTTTTTGACCTCAAAATACAGCACTGGACATATGGACGTTTCCACAGAATCACTCAAATATGTTATGATATATTTAAACCCAAGTCATTATTTGAGATAGTAAAAGTATAAATATATAGAAAATCTTCATTTATAGGGTACTTTCTATTGGTGCTGACAAAATGGAAAGTTCAATAATTTGCTTTAATGTACTAAACATAATTAGAGTATAGGGTCAGCGCTATGGCAGTTGAGACTATAGCATAAGTGATATGGGTCATTCTACCATTGTATCGTATGGTAAATAGTGTCTCACAGTTTTGAAGCCATGAAAATGAGCGTATTCTTTGCTCAATTCCTAACTTAACTCCAACAAAAACCATGATAATTCTGTGTAAATTATTTGTTTTAGTGATTTTATTTGTATTGAGCATAAAGAACAGCATGTCATTTTGGTGACTTCACAGATCTTGAAGTATTATTTTAACAACTATTGATAATTTTTCAGTTTAAATTGTAAAAATACATTAAAATTATTGTCATACAATATTTAAGTTAAAATTATTTCAAATGTTTGTCTGTGGTTTTGCAGAAATATGAAAAAAAAAATCCATTATTTCTTGGGTGGATATCTTGAAGGAAGACACCATCACTGCATCAGTGGTGTTTCCCATGAATGGATGATTTTAAAATTGAAGTAAAGTAACTAATTTTACTAATGTTCAATAACAGACTATGTTTTACACTCGCATTAGATTTTAACATTCCCTATTTGTCATTGCAATGGTAGAATGACAAAATCTCTACTGGACAGGGCTGGTTTTCTGACCAGTGATTGAAGATGGATAGGTATTGGGTAGTTGTTGACTGACCTGTGTGATGGTAGTACATGTGTAATGTGGTGGTGTCTTGTCTTCTGATCCTTTTTCGTGTTTTAGTCTTGGTCCTGTTTGTTTCTTCAACTGTTCTGCAGCTTTTGCAGTCAGCATGCTTTATTATCTCGTGTGGAATGTGGCACTGATTTATAGTCGGGCCTGTTTGTGTCAGGGAAGAGCTAAGAAAGGATTTGGACAAGAAGAGAAAGATGATTGTTCAAATGGCAACATCTATAACATCTGAAACCATCTGAAGTACATATGATAAACTGCAAAGTGCACTGTGTTGGATTCTAGTGACACACATGAAATACACCTGAAATCTAACAAAGTTAAAGAAACAAAAATAAAAAAGAAAGGACATAATGATAAACCAAAATAAGTGTCCTCCAACTACATATATATAATATATATATATATATATATATATATATATATATATATATATATTCTCATGTAAAGCAGTGTTTCTTTGAAGCTTGAAGATGTGGGATCTAAAGCAGATATGGAGGGACGAGCAAGCAAAAAAATGTGGGAGGAGGGGCATATTTTAAAGTGACCAATCTCTGTTTAGACGTTTAGGCACTGTTGACTAAAACTCGTCGGTTTTATTCACCAGTTTAGCACCTAAGCTGCCCTTAAAGCTGGAGCTGAAGCTTCGCTTAGTCATTCGGTGAGTAAAATGGTTTCATTGTTTTGTTTTGTAGTGCAGCAAAATTGTCTGTGATTTTTACTGAAGGGGTTTGTGAGTTGACATATGAGTTACAATATCCAGCAAAACAACATTAGATTGTTTTATTTATATGTAACATTGAAAAAACAATCTATCTATCTCAAGTAAATATATTACAATGGAGACAGCCGTCATCTCTTTCTTACTGTGGCCTTGTTTCTACATGCCTCAATGTTTCGATTTCTGGTTTCAGACGTCACATTAAATCAAACGGAACAGAATTACAGCTCAGAATTAATGTTGCTCAGTGACATATCCTCCACGCTTAGAACAGAATGTAAGAGAAGCAGTCATAACTCTCATTTGAGGTAAAATAAAGCTGTCTACTACATAATTTGAAACTGGTCTGTGATTTCTGTCTGTCCCTGGTTCTCCTGGGGCATGAACATCACTGTTGCAGTGCAGTGACTGAAACGGAAACCCTACAGTTTTCCATATGGGTACCATTTAGAATGAACAAAAACAATTGCCAACAGTTCAATAATTCAACAGTTAGTCTTTTTGTCCCTGATGTTTGGGTGAACATTTGAACGTACTTTCTCAGTTATGTCGTGCCAAAGACGCTATAACAGAGGAGACAGCAGTGGTTAGAAAATAAATGGGACCACTTGTAACGCTCGATATCACAATATGGCATGTGTTTATGGGGAAAGTCCCAGCTTTGAAAAACAACAGCCAAATCGACTTGCTGGTGAAGCCACAAGCGACAAACGACCCCCTCAGTTATGAAGATCTGTGCATGCGCAGTCGCCAGAACAACCCAAAAAACATGTTTTGCGCATGTTATTTGAGCCAAACAGTACAAACCATTCATTAGATTTTTGTCAGATTTTACCAGTGACTTCATATTTTTTTTGTAAGTGGTAATTTGGGTCTGTGTGACAGGAAATAACTGCCAAGATGGTCACTGAGAGGGCATACTTTCCTAAAAGGACTTTGGTGGTGCTTAACTGTTGTTTTGCTGGTGTAAAAATTATTAGACCTTCCGTTGGCTAAAATATATTTCATTAAAGCAATATATAAGTCAAAGCTCACATGCATTGAATTTTAAATACTGGGGAAAAAAAAAACTAATAAAAAATGTGCTGTGTGCAAAAGTTTGGGCACCCTTTCAGTTGCACCACTAGTGTTAATTTTTTTAAGGTCTTAGCGTTTATTTGACTCATTAGGGCTTAATCCAAGTCAAGTGTAGAAAACTCCAGAGCGTAATAAAATATGTGACCCTTAACACCTGTCAGGGTGTTGTGTTTACTCTCACTCACCTAGCTGAGAAACTAAAACTAAAGGATTTTTTGCCTACAATCACCAAAGTATGTTTGGAAGAAAAAGGAGCAGCATTTGATGAAAAGAACACCTTGCCAACTGTTAAGCATGGGGTGGATCTGTTATGCTTATGGGGTTGTGTGTCAGCCAGTGGCACAAGAAATGTGGGGATAAGGAGAAGAAGTTGGAAATTACAGGGCAGTAATCCAAAACGTTCCTCAACATCAACCTTTAACTACTTAAATACATTAAAGATTAAAGACTATCCCCAAATCCTAAATCAAGAATAGAAAAACTGTTAGCTGGCTACACGGCTGATTTCATCCAGGGTGTATCAAAGTTTATTTTTTCCATTATGTTAAATTTTGCAAATAAATAATGATTGTTCATTAAAATTTGCAGAAATATTTCATACATATGTGTTCACTTCTTATCACTTTGAAAGTTAACAAAATTTGAAATGTACAATTTGACTAAGTGTGCCTAAACTGACATGTGCAATTGTATATATACAGCTATATGCAAAAGTTTTGGCACCCCTTGTCAAATTACATTTTGCTGATTTTCAAAGTGAAAATAAGTTAACATATCCTCTACCGAGAACAAACTTCTGCACATTTTACTGTACAATTACTGTTTATTTACTGAATTGAATATATTGTGAAAAATAAAACAGAAATATGGCATGTACGAGGTTACGGCACATTTAATATGTTAGGTCTTATTTTTTCCCCAATGTGTATAAATTTACTGAGAAAAGCAACCTGTAAACAAGTTTGAATGGTCTCTTTTGTTGCTTAGGGAATGTTTTGACATTATATATTGAGCATGCATCTGTGTATTCCTTGATTAAGAAAAACAAATCTGCCATTGAATAATTTTTTTAATTATTCAAAAGAAAACCTTGTTTCAAACACAAATGTGATTTTGCCATCAGTGTTAGGAATCCCATTCCCGTCTGATACTATTGTTCATTGGTTAATTTGTAAAATCTTGTGGTCTCTGATGTTTGACAAAAAATTAGGTGCTTTTAAGGGAATAAATAGTCTCATTTAAACGTCTCATTTACATAGTTTGCCCCTTACCCAAAATGTGAGTGATCAGCCAAGACATGTTTGATGTCTAAACTTTGGTTCTTCAGTTTTGCATTGAAGCTATGTGGCTAACGTAGCTAACATGTAGTAATTTCAAACAGACCTGCGTATGTGGTTTCTGATACTGTGTAATAACCACCTTCTGTTGACTATAAAAATGTGAAAAGTATGTTGCACAACTAAAATGCTAGTAGCAGTCAGTTTGAAGCCTGATTTATGAATGCATTTTTTCAGATAATTACACAAAATTAAAAAATTGTAATTGGACAAAAAAATGGACAAAAGTAAACATAAATTTCGGGCTTCAAAATGGCTGCTGCTACTGTTTTTTAGCTGTACAACAAAAATGTTTAGTTGTTCATCCCTTTGTTATGTACTTTGGTTATTTGATCTTGCTTTGGTCGAACTTAGTTATGCATACTGGTTATGAAACCTGCTTTGGTAAATCATTTCATAGTTTCCACCAAAAAGTCCCCAGCAGAACCTGCAAGAAAAAGGAAGTAGCCACAACAGTGCCAATGAAACAAGCACCGGCTGATAAGACAAGCATGAATAAACATAAATGACTGGAAATAACAAAAATGCCACAAAGGACATAACGTTAGTTAAAAACTGAAGTCCTTAGTTATTTGTCTGTAATTTCAAAATGATTTTCTTCTTCTTTCACCAGTAGGTGTTTCAAGACAGCCCACACCAGAATGCAGCGTCAGAATGAAAGAGGGCACAAGGAAATGTCCTTCCAAGGGGAGCATCTGAAGTTTGGTCAACTTCAAAAAAGGATTCAGAATAAGTATCTAAACAGATATCAATTTGTCCCAAAATTCCCTCATCCGGTTGAGTTCTACGTGTCCAGTCTACGGCATGATACCAACTTTAGCAGCTTCCAGGCCATCCTAAATGATGGTGGATTTAAGAAACCTGGAAATGTCATCAGATCCACCCAGAGTCTGGTCTGGTGGAGCCTAGCCATTTCAGAGGGTGACACTGCAGATGCTGAGAGGCGTTTCCTTGGTGATGATAAAGATTATAACTGTAAACCTTTCCTACACAAGTTCACCTCCTCACCAGCCTTCAGGAAGTCCTCTAGGCTGGGGAACTTTAGTTTCACATTCTCCATGAGGGAACTGCTGGCCAGCTACAGCACCCAGTTCTGCATGGGGCAAACACCCCAGATACGCATCTATGAGACGGTCGTCTACAAGCAGGAGGTCATGCATTCTATAGTGGTCCATGGTCCAGACACCAAAAGAGAGTTCAAGAGATACCCGCTTCTGCAGGACTCTCGCAATGGTGTATGCGAGTTCCAGAATGACAAAATATTGTGGAGACCAGAGGGCATGAGCAAAACACATGCCTTTCGGCTGGTTCGACGACAAGAAATACGGGTGCGCCATGTGCTTAAGAAGAAGCGGAGGTTCTGCGCGTGGAACCACTTGGCTGTGGCGTTCCATGTCCCACAGGGTATGATCTTTAAGTTTGACAAGGAAACCCTGCTTAAGCACGTGAGTCTCTGTCAGGGAGCAGAGCCTAAACTGAGCAATGAGGGGTTTATAAAGTGTGAGTTTGAAGCCTCACCACCCGAGTAACAAGAGTGCTTGATATGAGTTAAGCCAGTTACTGAATTACCAACATTTCAAATCAGGATAAACAGTCTTTGTCATGTTAATTCATAGAACTGTCTATTTTTGTTATGTTTATAGCTCAAGTTGTGCTTGTCTTTTCAACCATATGAAATAATCCTGCAGGAGAAACAATACTTTTAGATTTGTTTGCAATGTGGAAAATAAAATGGTTTGAATAATTTCTACCAGTGGTCTTTTTCCTGTTTTTGTCTGCCAAGGGTCTTCAGTAGGGATGCCCAGTGTAGTTCATCTGTTTCTCTATATACTTTGTTAGCCCTTTTTTTCCCTGTTCTTCGGGGGTGTCAGACACAGCAGTGCTGCTGGAGTTTTTAAACACTGTGTCCACTCCCAGTCCACTCTATTAGACACTCCTACCTTTTTGGTCCACCTTGTAGATGTAAACTCAGAGACAGTAGCTCATCTCTTGCTGCACAGTTTGTGTCTGTCATCCTCTGGTACTTTATCAGTGATCACAGGACGCTGCCCACAGGATGATGTTGGCTGGATAATTTTGGTTGGTGGACTATTCTCAGTCCAGCAGTTACACTGAGGTGTTTAAAAACTCCAGCAGCACTGCTGTGTCTGATCCACTCAGACCATCGCAACACACACTAACACAACACCACCACGTCAGTGTCACTGCAGTACAGAGAAAGATCTACCACCCAAATAATACCTGCCCTGGGGTGGTCCTGTGGAGGTGCTGACCACTAAAGAACAGGGTAAAAAGGGCCTAACAAAGTATGTAGAGAAACAGATGGACTACAGTCTTTAATTGTAGAACTACAAAGTGCACCACCAAGGTATTCTCAACTAGGCCAGGATCACAATGCCTTTATATTATACTGAACAGCCAGTATAATACAGGTAACTACTCAAAAACCTTCACAACATGCCCAGGTTTTTCAGTATGTTACTGGTGGGATGTGTGCTTGTGTGTGTGGCTAATGAAGATCAGCAGGTTTAGTCCTTGCTTGGAATAAATTCTTTGCACAGGCAGCAGTTTGCTGATAAGAAAAGTATGTGGAGGGGTGAAAAACCATGGCTATAATTCAACAGAAACAGCACACTGTATCCATACTGAGGTTTCAGAAGGAGTACATAAGTTATACAAGTTATGTAAGACAACTGCTGCTCTTTCAGTGGACTATGGATGACCCCTCCCTCCCATATATGCTGCCATTTACACTGATAACCCTGCTGTAGACCCAGACAAAATAATCTGTGATCTCTTACTCCTTCAGAGACACCGCCATTGACCTATATACAAGCTACAACTGATAATTGCTCACATTAAGGTGACAAGAGTGATGACTTAGTCACACCTAACCTTTTTTCACCACCCCCCCCTAAAAAAACTAGACCCTGATCCTGACCATGATACACTGAGAGTTATAAGGAGCTCTGACTGTTAAGACTTGTACTCCTTAAAATAATGTACACACTCAATATTCTTCAAATATTGTATTCAGGAATGTACACATGTTTGGGCACTTCTGGTCAAGTGACATGTTTTGTTGACTTTGAAGTTGACTGAAGTGAAAATTTTAATGCCCAATTACTGTTTATTTTCACACATTGGAAAAAAATAAAACCTAAAATGTGAGCTGTGCAAAAACTATTGCTCATTTTACATTGTCTGTGTAATTTTATTTTCCAATATTTTAAACTCAAATAGAAAGCAAAGCAAAAAAATAGAAAATGTACATAAAAATTGAAGAAAAACACCATATTTAACTGTGTTCTCTGTAGAGGATGTGTTTACCTTTATTTATGTATTTATTGCCACCCACCTCAGCTTAGGGTTTGTGTGTGTGTGTGTGTGTGTGTGTGTGTGTGTGTGTGTGTGTGTGTAAGAGTTCTGCCTCTGATCAGAAAATACAGTAATGTCAACGCCCCTCTCGAGAGAGTCATTCAACTCGCATACAGACGGACAAACAGACACACACATGCTAATATAACCTAGGGCTCTTTCCCTTGTTGGGGTATTTCCACTGACTTATACAGAGACCGCTTCTCTCAGGAAACAAGCAAGCAAGAAAACATGGCTGTGAACAGGTAAACAAACAAAATCTAAACTCATGTGATGACACATATAGACTAAATACAAACATTTACAACTAAGCTTAGTAGTGCTAAGCTAAGCTAGTTTATTCAGGTGTAGTCATATTGCCTTATGACATATTTTGAAAGAGAATTCTTGCTCTCTAATTTCCGGTTGTTACAGGCTGTTTTCAGTTTTTAGCTCACTGAGGTTTTCAGAAAGCCTCGGTCTGCTCTATTTCCTTTGCAACACTTTTTTAAAGCATTCGTTTATTAATGTGTCTTTACTTTTATAGCATGTGTCAGTTTAGTTTTAAAATCTCAAAGAACTTTACTCAAAAAAATAGCAGTTGTCCAAAGTAATAAAAGCAGCACAGTTATACTGTAACAAGCATTTATTGGAATTCCACTGATTTTCTGTATAATTCAGTGGTGGATATGTAAACAAAGACAGAGTGAAATGGTTCATTGTAGAGAAACTTGCCGAATCAGATCTCTTTACAGTTTTGGTGATGGGAACCAGCACAAATATAGCCATTTCATTTACTCTCCAAATCTACCAGTTTTTAGATAATACTGGTGATGGTAAAATCAAGGTAAAACTGAAAAGGTAAGTTTCCTTTGGGTACTATATTTTGCCTCACAGCGTCCTGCATGTAGCTCTCCGCTGTTTATGGATTTTAAAAAGTAAAAAAATAAAGCTCATCACAAAACTAGTATAAAATAACCTCCCAGACATGAAGCATTTTAATAACTGCTTAGTGTAATAACTTTCTGTGAGGGAACTTTTAGAGGCATTAAACACTTTGTCTGGTTTGTATCACATGCGGATGAGACAAATCATTTAATCCAAAGTACTTCAGTGACAAACAATAGAACAAAACCTGCTTTTTACAATTGTTATGTAAAAATACCAAGAGATTATTTTAATTACAGCGTATTACTGTAAGTGTACTGCAGAATATGGCTAAATCACAGGAATCTTGTGGTCCAAGTGACTGTGTAGTCATAGTATTTTACTGTAATTTACTGTTAATATAGTACTGCAAATTACTGTGAAAGTAATGCAACTAGTAGCCAGTAATTTGCTGTAATTGTACAGTGAAATTTTTAACAGAGCAAGTCTTTCATTGTGTATATCTATGTCACTGTGTCTAACTGAGGTGGTACATATAGACTGTATATTACTAGTGTAAAAGTCATAGCCAATGTTGTGTTCTGCATTATGGGGCTGTATATATAGTTGTGTGCAAAATTGAGCTAAATTACATGTTTTGTTGATTTTCTAAGTGAAAATAGAAACATATCCTCTACAGAGAACACACTGCACATATTAATGTACACTGCATTCAAATATAAAATGTTGCCTGTGCAAAAGGTATTGTCACGTTTGTTGTTATATTTTATTAGTTTTTTTTTTCAGTGTGTCAAATTCAGCAAGTAAACAGAAATCTTGTATTAAAACTTGAAGGAAAGTGCCATTTTAAGTGTGTTCCCTGTAGAGAATGTGCTAACTCATTTTCATTTAAGGAAAACATGCAATTTGACTAGGGTTTACAAACTTTTGCATATGACTGTAAAAGAAGAACAGTAAGGGGCCAAAAACAGAGTCTTGAGGAACACCATATTGCACTTATTTATGTTCTGAACACCCCTCATCTGTACATATGTTGTTGTTATTATATCAATTCAATTACAGAATAAAACTTATACTATTATAAGCAATAATTTAAATATTACAGTCAGTAGTATCAATTGTTGCACTTAAGCCCTAGAAGTGGGTTACTTGTTAAATTTGCTCAGATACAAGCAAAATTGATGGATTTGCAATGTTATTTCCTGAGTATGTTCACTTCTTAATATTTTTTACTTCTCAAGTACATTGGTGAGGAATCTAAGCTTTTTATTTAAGATTTATTTTTATTTTTAGTGGATAATCTAACAGATTGCATGATAAGTTAACATACAATAAGTTCCTTCCTTTTCAGAAAGTGGACAGTATACAAAAACTCCAGAGGCCATGATGTAACGTGCTGTGAGGTTGAGCATGTGAGTTTATTGGAGCTAAAAGCCGACCCTGGAGTGGACACTCACTACCTGAGGAAGAAAAACATCCCGCCTTATCCAAAATCCGTGCTCTTCCGTGTATCTGAAGTGTGCCATGTGACTGGGAAGAGTGGCATTCAGGGTATCTTTGATGATGGCGGCTTCCAGATTCCATACCATGATGAATATGAAAATGACTTCCTGTGGTGGAGTCTATCAGTGACTGAGGAAGACATTGCTGATGCTGAGGAAAATTTCTAGAGGAGTTATTCCCAGACGGCCAGGGCCATAACCAGCAGCCTTTCCTGGAGAAGTTCACCACCTCACCGGCATTCCAGAGCGAGTCTCGCTACGGCAACTTCCGCTTTGTCTTTCCTCTAAAAGAGCTCCTGTCTCTGTATGCCAGGCAATTTTGTTACAATTCTGCTCCAGTTCTTCGTGTGTTGGACACCAAGATCTACAAAACAGAAATTATGTACTCTGTGTTGGTGCATCCACGGCACATTAAGCGCTATAGCCAATACCCACGCCTGCCCTGTGGTGATGACGATGTTTGTGGGTACTTCCAGGGCAACATGTCATGGCGCTGTCAGGCCCCGTCAGAAAGTCATGGCCACAGGCTAGTGGTGGACAAAGAGGAGTCCACAGTGCACGCCAGGTCACTTAAGGGTGAGGAGTATTATGTGTGGGATCATGTGGCTGTAGCCTTCCACATGGAGCCAGACTGGATTCTGGATGTGGATCGGGAGCGACTCTACAGAAGCGTTAGGATATGTGAGGTCCCTGAATGGAATCTCCTGAGGGAGCCAGACTATGGCCTTGATGAGTATGAAGCTTATGAAATATTAGAAAACATGGCTCTAGAGTATGGTTTAAGCCTCTGATACTACTATTGATCAGGGGTGTTAAAATCCTATTCCTGGCAATTTGGTGACTGCAAACATTTTTTAGAATCCCAACCAAACACTTCCAACCCATGTAATCCAGGCGATGAGACCAGGGTAGTTACTTAAAAAGTAATCCATTACAAATGGATACTTCTGATACTTTATTTAGAAAGAAATAGCCAATTGAGGTAAACA